AAAAGCGTAAACGGAAGAAAACCGTTTCATTTGATATCTTTTAATCTCCCGTGAATTTTTCCGTGTGCGAACATCTTAATCACTGCTTTTTCACCAAAGCTTGCTGTCAGAAATCCTGCATCTCTGTCAGCTTATCTCACCTTCGAACTCGTCAAACCTGTGTGAAATCTGCTGAACAGCGTATGAAAGCAAATACCGCATTATTATGACAATATACACAACAGGTCTGCTCACCCCCAGGGAAATAATCACGTTTGTTCTCTCTCTCTCTGTCTGTCTTCTCCCTCATAAAAAGTAAAACACCGTTCGGCAGATGTTTTCCAGATATTGTCAGCTGCGTGGGTGTGAGCTTTATATTTCTTAATCTGTGAGGCGCTTTATATAATGCTTTAATCGTTTCTTTTCTTTAGTCCCTCAGGTGACATATCACAATTGTAAATCATTTCATGGGGATCTGGTTTTAAAAGTGGTTCCAGCTTGCTGACCTAGGGCAATGTCTCCTATATCTTTTCTGAAGCTTTATTTCAAGAGTTTTCTGCCTTTATATGGTACAAAATTAAAAGAGTGGTTACATCGAGCAGTGGTTCCCAAACCTTTTCATCTGATCAGCTCCAAAGGCTTTTCAGTACTTAAGAATCCATCAACAGCAATGTAGCCCCTCCAATATGCTCATTTTAACCCATCGTAAGCATGATCTGGACCACTTTCTGCTTACCATTGGTCAATTATGGCTAGTGAACTCTCTCAGACATTTTTCTATAGTTATTGACTTACTATGTCACCCGTTTGCTCCCTGTTTGATGTTACTCCTGCATTTGACAGCTGTTCATACCGTTTAAAGCCCACAATCATTTATCCATGCTTTTGATTAGTAATGTAAACTTTTCTTGACATTTCTAGACTTTTTAAGCAGTTTGAATAAATTTTATGTTCATTTTTAACTCTTTTAGACTTCATCATTTGATCGATGCAATGCAATACAATGCATTCATAACATATTCTCATTTTTGCATTTCTTTCAGTTCAGGTCAGTTACATTTTGCTAATATAGGACAAACTCACAACACCAGTCAATTCAAAGGTCGTTATAACATAATGCGAAGATCCTACGATAACACAGAGCAAACCGCAACAATCAGACGAGCCCCTGTGAGCAAGCACTATGAACAAGAAACAGCGGGAAGGAAAAACTCTCTTTTAACAGGAAGAAACTTGTTGTGCATACAGACAGGCTGTGAAAAGAGGTGAGTGAAGAAGAAATAGTCAGTGAGAGTCATGGGAAGCCCCAGCAGCTTCGACCTATTAGCATACGGCGAGTTCAGGGTCACCTGATTCAGCCCTAACATTATTCCTTATCAAAAAGGAAAGCTTTAATTCTAATCTTAAAGGTAGAGAGGGTGTCTGTCTCCCATATCCAAACTGGTAGCTCGTTCCGCAGATGAGGGGCCTGAAAGCTTCGCCCTCTATTCTACTTTAAGAAACTCTAGGAACCACAAGTAAGCCTGCAGACTGAGAGTGAAGTGCTCTAATCATGTGATATGGTACTATGAAGTCTTTAAGATAATATGGGGCCTGATTATTCAAGACCTTGTATGTGAGGAGAAGAATTTTAAGGACTTGATTCTGGATTTAACAAGGAGACAATGAAAATTAGAAGAAAAGAAGCTTATATGGGAGAAATATGCGCTTCTTTTCTAGTCCCTGTCGGTACTCTTGCGGCAGCATTCTGGATCAACTGAAGCATTTTAGAACAACATAGTCTACAGCCTACAATTAAGAACTAGATTTTCAGCATCACTCTGAGACAGGATGCTTCTGATTTTAGCGATAATATGTAAATGTAGGAAAGCAGTCCTACATATTTGTATAAAATGAGCATTGAAGGACATATCCTGGCCAAGGTAATACCATCCACAGTATCATGTTAGACACCATGTTTCTAAGATTTTGGGGGCCGAGTGCAATAACCTCAGATTATCTGAAATTAGAAGCAGGAAATTAGAGTTCATCCAGGACTTTATATCGTTAAGACATTCCTGCAATTGAACTCATTAGTGCGTGTCATCCGGCATCTACATAGCAGTGAAAATGTATGCTATGCCTTCGAATGATACTGACTAAAGGAAGCATGTATAACGTGAACAGAATAGGTCCTAGCACGGAACTCTGTGGAACTCCATAATTAGCCTTAGTGTGTGAAGAGGCCTCTCCAGTTATTTTAACAAATGAGAAACTAGATATAATTCAAACTGCAGCAGCGCAGTACCTTTAATACCTACAGTGTGTTCTAATCTCTGTAGTAAGATATTGTGGTAAACAGTATCAAACGCTGCACTGCGGTCTAGCACTACAAGAACAGAAAGGAGTCCACTGTCAGAGGTCGTGAAAAGATCATTTGTAACCTTCACTAAAGCTGTTTCTGTACTGTGAGGAATTCTGAAACCTGACTAAAACTCTTCAAATAAATCATTCCTCTGCAGACAATCCATTAGCTGTTTCACAACTACTTTTTCAAGAATTTTAGAAATAAAAGGACGGTTGGAGATTGACCGGTAATTACCTAAAACAGTTGAGTCAGTTGATGGTCAGTTTTTGAGTAATGGTTTATGGTAACTTCACCTTAAAGGCCTGTTGTACGTACATTAATATTAATCTTAAATTGATCATATTTAAGATTGCCGCATTATTAAATAGTAAGACCTTTTTATGGAAGCTTGTAGGAATGGAGTCTATGAGACACATTGATGGTTTAGAGGAAGTACAGCTATATTTCCTCAGTGTACCCAGCGGTTCACATTTTGTTTATTCAGACATGTAGAGAAACTTCCTGTCAACCACCGCACTCAGTTTGGGTAAATCAGAGCTTTCATTATGAAGTTATGGGAGGTCGGGTGTAGCATGTCCCATACAACTTGGCTTTATTTTGAAGTTTTTTCATGTATTGATTGTGCAATAATATCTATATACTTGACCTCTTTTCAGTAGATTATTTTTATACAAAAATATTTTTTGTATAATGGGGGGGGGGGGGGTCATCTATCCCATAATACCCCAAATATCCCATAATACTATTTGATAATTTGATTACATTTTTAATGTCTGTTTTTTCAGACATTAAAAATCAAAAAAAGAAAAAAAAAATCAAACACCCAAGTCTCTCTCCCATCTTTTATTATTCATGTATAATCTCAGATTAATAATAGATCATCCAAGACCACACAAACCCAGACCTTGAACTTTCTAATTGCACAACTATGTCTGTCAGAAAAAATTAATCCAGCCATACCTCTGCATGCTGTGTGGCTGCGTGCACAGATGAGTGCATGTTTATCCACCGTGTGCACTTACGGGCCAAAATGCAGGCCTCAGACTGCAATGCTCTGATTATTCGCCCACTCAAATCAATCGAGCCATCTCCTATTCATATTTGATATGCCTTTAGGCAGTGGGATAAAGTTTAAAAGAAAAATCTAGCCATGCACTTGGAGGAAATCTGGTCAGCCTATTGGCTCGTTTGAAGATTTTTACTTGAGAAGCTTCACTCTGAGATTGTGCTTGAAGAGCATCTCTCAAAGGGACTCGTCATACAGCACTCTATGAGGTAAAAAAACAAACAAAACATCCATCATAAGCGATCTAGGTTGTTCAGTTGCTTAAACAGTTATGAGAGGAGCTCAGTGTCACAAGTTCAGCTGAAGTCGACCTGCTCTGCCCAGCAGTGAAACGTCCCACCTGAGAGAACCTGCTTGCTTGCTTACTTCAAAGGTGAGGTTGGCGGCTCGGGGCTCTCTGAGCGTTAAAGGCACTGGCATCAGGCATCAGGAAATTCCCCTGTCACCAGATTCAACCTCATTCAGTCTGAACAAAAAGTGCACTCCTTTCAAGCAGCGTAACCTCTTATTTCCTTTATAGATTTATTTTAAAGGAGCTTCAGTTTTGAAGTCTTTTCAAAACTGAAGCTTTTTATTCGCCTTGAAATGTGTGGTTGCTGCATATAAAATGCATTTTCGTTTGAAAAGAATAAACACTGTGAGTCTCTCTGCCATGTAGCTGTAATGCGCACAGCTCCACTAAATCTTGCTTTAAATGAGCATGCCTGTTCCTGTTCTCCTTTAGTCTGTTCATCCTGGGGTTTAAAATATTCAGTATTTTCGCAGGCCTGGATGTTGTACGATTTTGAGTCAAGTGAGGCATAGAAAATCCTTGTGAGTCAGTGATTTCAATCAATGTTGAGTGAAAACGACAAAGTGATTGTTCCTCTTTCCGCCTCTTTTGTGTCGGAGGTTAAAAGATAAGAGTTTGGAAGAATCGGTAGATTAATAAGGCGACTGTTTATAAGCTCACCTAACCAGTTGTGAGAGGTATTTTCACAGTATTAAACTGATTCTATCTATGGAAATAGTCTCTATGACAGGGATACCACCTGTTTCTTAAATGTGCTGTAATATTTCCAGGGAGCGTTTTTGTTTATCAGATTAAACCCTTTAATCTATTGTTTATGTAGCAGTACAGAAACTTTGACAGGGTGCTTCCCGACTCTCATTTTTCCCAGGATCACAGCTGCCACATGTGATATCTTTTCTGCCAAAGCTCGTTTTTTTCCTCCCCCCCAAATAACAGCCATGAGGGTAAAACGCATTTGGTTAACGGTTAAATCAGCTCATACTGTTTGAGGTCCAAACAAATGTCTGCAGTGGTCAAAACAAACAGTAGCCTCTGGGCAATCACACAATCACGGCAGCAAGGTGGCTCAACGTCCTGGCGCCTTTGTTTTAAAGTTTACACTCTGGAACGTAAAGCTCTTATTCGATTAGATCATAGTTTTATTTCTCTCTCTCCCTCTGTGTGTGTGTGTGTGTGTGTGTGTGTGTGTGTGTGTGTGTGTGTGTGTGTGTGTGTG